CATGAAAATTCAATTTTGACCGCAAGAACTTAACATTGTTGCTCTCTGAATGTTCCCCTTGGGCATAGATGCAACACATCTCACAGTCTAATTCGTGGTAAATTTGGTTCATGCACACAGGCGAGCTTCACTGAAAATGAGATGACAGGGGTAAGGAGAGGCACATCTTACGTACAAGTGGATGTATGTTATCATCTATATCATAATAGATTCTATTTTAAAATAGTGATCAATTCGTCAAGTTAATCTGTCAAGTTACTCAGTGTTTCCCGTGTACCGGTGAACGTTTCACACATCACTCGACTTAATTTTCTATCTCCTCTTCCTTTCTTTCAAAGAAACAATTTCAATTTCACGCCTTCAGTTATCCGAACTTGTGCGTCGTACATCATTCTGTTATTTGTCTATCGTCAGCAATCATACGCCATCACGTTTCCTTGCCAAACTATCAAATTTGTTCCCCTGTCTAACTATCCGCTAATGTTTATGTATCTATCTAACGGAAAAATCTCTGTCTATCGCATAATGTGTCTGGCTCTCGTTATACATTTCTATTGCCCAAATCTATCTACCTATCAATGTCTATCTATCTATCTATCTATCTATCTATCTATCTATCTATCTCAAAGATGTATCTATCTCACAAAATTCATCTATTATAAAAACCTGTCTAAAACAAAAAATCTATCTATCTATCTATCTATCTATCTATCTATCTATCCTTAGTCACCTTCGAAGTCATTCGAGAGGAAACAATGCATTAGATTGACTGTAGTTGTTGATGGACAAGACAGCAGTTAACTTTGATGTTGGGGCAATCAACAACTATCTATATATCACAGCATATTTTTATTTATATATATATATATATATATATATATATATATAAATCTTAAAATTCTAGAAGCCGTTTATATAAGAGAATTGGAGCCAGAATCAAATAAATTCAACTACGTATATAGCAAAAACATTTTTTTAAATGTTTGTAGCAGCAAAGTGTTATATTGAAAATACTAAATTAAAATATTTTTTAAAAGTTTTTTTTATGTGTGTTTTTTCTGTCTTTATTTCATCCAAACTTGAGAAAGCCAAAGAGAAACAATTATTATAAATAAAATTTACACCTGGCCTCATTATCTAAACTTTTTTCAGATACTATTATACACCCCTATATATATATATATATATATATATATATATATATAACATTTGGTTTGCTTTCAGAGTCTGATGGCTCACCTATTGACCCAGTATGGTGTAAATCTAATGAAACTCATTTCACCTTTACGTACGTGCCAAAGCTGACCGGAGTATTTACTATCAATATGAAGTCGAGTGGCCATTGTATCAAAGGTAAGTTTTTCTTTATCAAAATTTCTCTTATTTATTATTCTATTATTTATCCCTAGCAGGAGAGCCCGGCGTTGCCCGGGGATGTAACAGTAAGAGATAGATCAAGTATCGACCATCATAAAGACTGAAAAATAAAATTGACAAAGATTATTGTTTAAGGTTGACGGACACGCATGTCTTAATTATTTGTATTTATTTATTTATTTTTTTTTACAAATTGGTCAAACTCAAACTCAAACAAAAACATTGTTTTCAATCGTTATGAGTCTATCGATTGAATAGAATTTTATTATAAACAATTGTCTTGTAAAAAGCATTTTTAAAGCATTCTGAATGTAAAAATAAAGAAAAAAGTGTGTGAGACATAAGAAACACTACCTGCCAAAAAAAAGTTTTGTTGAAATCGGTTGAAAAATGTAGGAAATTCGATCCCATATATAAACGAACACACACACACACACACACAAACTATCTTGCTTTTATAAAAAGTATAACTCGATATGAGTTGTCCCTCTTTCATTCTGGCGACAGAATCGTGTTTTATCGTGTTTTCAAATTGATTTCGTGCAAAAACAATTGGGTTTTTTCCAATTTTTTGCGCTGTCAGAACCACCGCAAGGTCATTTTACGCAGTCCTGTGAAGTTTTGTTGAAATCGGTTGAAAAATGTAGGAAATCCGATCCAATATATAAACGTACACACACACACACACACACACACACACAATCTGCGTTTTATAATAAGTAAGATTCCAGGATTTTTAAGGATTTATTTTTTTACAGCTCACATTTGTCGATACTTAGAAATATATCTGATTTCGAGAAAAGTCCACAATATTTTGACGGTTTTCGAACTCAACTAATGATCAAAATGGTTTATCTTCGAAACAGAACAAAACACCTTTCGTTTCCTTTGTGGATGATAATTTAACGAATTTAAGTTCAAATTGTGCAAATACTACAATTTCAAAGCAGAGACATTTTAGAATTCCATTCCTTTAGAAATGTTCTTTACGCTTGAACTGAAACATTGAACAGTGATAATACCTGAGCAAGTTTCGACGTCCTCTGAACTGGTAAGAAGGATTGATTTGTTTGTTTTTTACGACTTTTCAACATTTTTCAGGTCATTTAAAGCACTCTATATAAAGAAAAGCAACCGACACTAAATTAATTATGAGTATAGCAACAATGTTTTAAAATGTCTATAAATGTAATATTTTGGGATGCTCATATTGTAAAATATACTTTTTAAAAAATTGCTTTTACATCGTTGATAATAAAAAATAAAAATTAAGTTACCTCCCTTGCATATTCTTAACGTAAATTGACTGGAACGGGGCGCCTTACTTTCGCATTTACAAAAAAAAAAAAAAAAATCTCACAACTATGAATTACATTACTTGTTTTCTTAGCAATTCACACTTAAAGATGATCTTGTATGAGACTGAATGTATTTGGGTAAATAAAAGAAATAACCAAAACTACGGCGTCTTTCTTACTCAGTGTTGCAACAGCACTAACAAATTGATTCGTGAATTTGAGAGGATTAAAATAAAACAGACATATGTCTAGATTATTCAACCAAATATTCTTTTATATATATATATATATATATATATATATATATATATATATATATATATATATATATATATATATATAATGTGCTTCCCATAACAAAGCAAAGTACTAAGAAACAGGAAAAAAATTGTTAGAAACAAAGAAAAGAGTGCTGAACTATTATGGGATATCCGATCTTCCTAAGGCAATGAATGCCTGATATTGTACTCGGAACAGAAATGTGGTTCTACAGAAGGATGCTGAGAATAAAATGGACGGAGTGTTTAAGCAATGGCGGAGTCTTAAGGAAAATGTAAACGAAAAGGATGCTTACATTCAGAATCAGAAAGAGATAGCTGAAATGTCTCGGGCACATAACGTGGAAGGTGGGGAGGGGGGCTTAAAGATTTTGGTCACTGACGGCATGAAGGCAAAAGGGCCATAAGAAGGCATCGGGTCACCTATCCGACGACCTTGTGTGAATGGATGTTGAAACAGGGGGGGCGGAAGGCTCGACAAAGGGACAAACACCAAAAGGGGTAGATAATTGTATAGAAACCTGACAGATTTTGTGGGACACGGCATAGAAAAGAAGTATAAGTGTCTTTTCGGGTCCTATTTTCTTCAAAACTTCATCGTTAGTCACATGTACAGTTTGTTGTCTTTTTAGCATTCTTCGATAGATCAGTTTCTCTTTGACAACTCCCTTGCTGTCAAAAGTCTAACAGCAAGTGTAGCTGAAACGCTCTGACGATGCAAACAATACATTCTAAATACCAGAAACGCTAAGTGTTGTAACGATTAAATAGAGACTCTGCCAATTAAATAAAAAACAATATAAACAACCAATTACTGTTAATATGGTGTCGATGGACAGCTTAATGATTAGTAAAAATAAAGATGTCAATCGCTTAGAAGAGGTTCTGGAACGTACAAGTCAGTGTTGTCTTTCTTCTTTTTTTTTTATAAAATGGTGTCCGCCCTGTACAAGCCCTGAGAGCCATCCGAGGTAGTGGTTTACAGACTAACAGGCATAGTTTATGCGGATGTTTTGGGAAGATAACGGTTAACCCTAGATTTTAACAGGTTATGGCTGCAGTGATTGGGGAAGACGCCTTTTGTGTGTCGGTTTCACAAAGTCAGATGAAGAACCTGATCGTTTGAAACCTACATCTATCCATCTGTCTATAGATATAGAAGTGGGAAAATCAAATAACTAGAGATTAGCAAGCGTAAATGCGTGTGTTAGCGTGCATACACAGGTAAGTAAATAAATATTTACTAAATTTACTTTAAGGTGTTAACAAAACAGTGCTCAATATGGTTAGACAGAGGTAAAATATATATATATTATTAAATATTCATATACCTACGTTTTGAGTGCGGCTTAAGTTTCGTTGTTCTACCAACTCATCAGGCACGAAAGCTTAAGTAATATGTCGTGCCTGACGAGTTGGTAGAACAACGAAACTGAAGTCGCACTCTGAACTTATGCACATATCTATCTATCTCTCTATCTATCTAGCTAGCTAGCTAGCTTAATGCACCCATAGCTAAATGTTTCAATATGTTCAAATCTATCTATCTATCTATCTATCTATCTATCTATCTATCTCAGTCTGTTCATATGTACGCATATATATGTAGATATGCGTTATAACAGAGATGCCCCCCCTCGAGGTAATCTGCTTTACTTTACTGGATCAGTGGAAATGTTTCTATTTACAGAATTTGAAGCACATCATGAGTGTAAAAAACCCGCTATAAAAACTCCTCTATAATCCATGTAATTGTATATGTACTAATATGGAAAAGAATGAAGATTTTCAGTAATATATGCATATTATTTAGAATGCCCTTTTGAGTCGGACAATCTTGGAAAATGGTGGGGTATACTGATGTATGATAAAAAGGGTGATCGCGCAAAAAAGGTTGAGAGCCTTCATAAAAGTTATAAGGATTCATAGAGCCTGGCATATATCAGTATATATAGAATAATAGTACCACCTGGCGGAAGAAGTTCTTGGATTGCAAAAGAATATGTCTTGATGTGGAACCTCCAGATCATATAGGTGACCTCACTTGTGATGTTTGTGGTAAGCTTTGCTTGAGCAAAACAGGAATATTAAGTCATGTGCGAAGTCATCGTAGCAGGGCACTGATCAACTAAAAATGTCATTAAATAATGAGAATTCATGCCAGATTTGTAGAAACGTTTGTAAGTCAACCGCTGAGTTGGAATGAATGACATCCGATTACAAAAATTGACCTAATGATAACAAAATTTGTTTTATCTATGCCATTGTTTAATGTTTTATGCGGTTTTATTGTTTGTTTTGTTTTACGGTATATCAACCTCAATGGGCTATTTAATGCCGACAAAATATTGTTGGTAATTGTTATGGGGTCCTCCCCTTTTTCATATAAGTGGACTCGACCAGAGTGTTACTTGGACTGCTGCCGTTAAATACCCAGAGTCAGTCAGAATATATATATATATATATATATATATATATATATATATATATATATATAGAGAGAGAGAGAGAGAAGAGATTGTGATTGTGATTGAGTTGGAGGTAGAGTAATAGTGTGAGGTAACCGCTTGAGAAGTCAGTTACAAGCACGTAGACTCTAAGGAAGTCCTACTTCGAGACTGTATATATATATATATTATTATTGCTACTAACCGCGTTCCTGGATTTACTAACAGTATTACCCATTGTATTATTGTGTAAATACATTTAATTTCTTATCTTTAATTCTTGCGTTTGTCATTCATTGGAGACCGAATTCCATCTCGGGATCCAC